GGYGAGCAAGTCAATAAAAATAATTAACTCAAGTCTCAAGTTATGTTAAGTTAACAAAACACATGATTGAAAGTTAAAATCCCAGAACAGAAATGTCTGTGTTATTATAGTATTGGATTATTTTTATTTTATATTAATATTTACGTGCAGTAAACGAAAAATTTCGAATTGTTTTTAACTTGTTGAATTATTATTAAATCAACTGAGACCTATAGTATTTCAAATGTCAATTCAACTATTTAAGTTTAAAAGTTTAAAAAATTAACTTTTTAACTTAATTTTAACTTTTTAATTAGTTAATGCCCACTTTTGGATATAGGTAGTTATTAGTTGGGACTTTGAGGAKACGAACAGTAGAAAATTKTCGGTATGGTATACTTTCTAAAAAATCGAGGAAAACTAAAAATATACAATGGACTAACAGAAATATGTTTAATACGCCATTRGTAATAATTAATACTATAATACTTTCACTTTACGAACAAAAATTTTTTTTTTTATAAATGTTTCTAATTTTAGTTTTAATAAGTCTTAACTTAATGACAAAACATATTTATTTTTATGATTTTCCTTTATTTAAAATTWAAAGTTGAGGTATAATAGCTGAATTATTATATTTGCTATTATGAGAATTAATAAGATCCTTTAAATTATTTAAAAGGTACAATCATCAATAATTATTATAATATTAAAATAATTACTCGATTACAAAAATGTTCGTTATTCATTATAATATTCAATGTCATCAGTTTAATTTAATTTCATCTTATTCTTATTTAATATTTTGTTATCTTGTTATATAACGAATCTAATTTAAATTAATTTAGTTTGCTGTATTGCTTATTGTTTTTTAATTTTTAGACCACATAGGTTAGATTAGATTATAGTTGTATACCGATGACCTTTTAATTATTTACATTTTGGTTAAAACTGCATGCTTTATCAAATTTTTTTTTCTGCTGTGCGAAAATTCTGAATTCTGTTTTTTTTTTTTCAGGAAATGGAATTCGACTGGGACGAGAAGACCCAAGGGTTGGTGTTGAGCTCGTTTTTTTGGGGGTACGTAATCACGCAAATGCCGGGTGGCATGTTGGCCGACACGTACGGAGGCAAAGCCACGTTGGGCTTGGGAATGCTGCTCAGTAGTATCGGTACGATCATAACACCTGTCGTGGCCAGGAGCTATGGGCCAGAAGCACTGATTATACTGCGACTGATCATCGGACTCGCTCAAGTACCTATGGATTTTATATATTTTTATGGAATGTACAAATAACAGTAGTTACATATTAACGTTGGTCGCAGTGCATATAAATAATAATTAGTAATATCCATATAGGACATACCTAGGTGTGTAATATGATATATAGATAGATACCTACTGGTTTAATTATTGAGATATTACATAATATGTTGTAATAAGAGGACACGTCGAATGGTGTGTCCGCTTTACAAATGTAAAACTTAGCAAACACTGTTTTGCGCGGGAAAGAACCGAGAAGGCGATATAGTCGTACTCATAACTAAGAAACGAGATTATCAACGCATAAAAAGGAGAACTTATTGGMTGTGAATTAATATTGTTCTTTTTCGGCATCAGAACTATAAAAAAAAGTTATCTAAGTTAGAAAAATACAAAAATAATGGATTTGGAAACAATCAGAACTTTTTTCGTATAAGTGATATAAAAAAAATAAAAATAAATACATTAAAACTATATTTTACATATATAATGATTTAAACTAAATAGCGTATTAGTTTGAAGTCTTTACAATCACTAGTGCCTAAGTGTTTTTATTTTCCATTTAATTCAGTTCAGTTTTTATTTTTCAAACTTCAGGCCTCAATCTTAAAAACATATTTAAAACAATTTTCAAATTACAATCTCTAATTAAATTTTAAATTAATAGTCGTATTGTTTTTATAGTTACTTATAAGTACATGACCTATGTCCTATTGGTTATTACTTATTACTTATTGTTACACTAGTAATTATTAAAATAATATTAGAGGTATATAGGCAATACTGTATCTGAGAGAGGTACAAAGGGGTCTGGACCCCCCGAGATTTCATCAATATTTTACAAATGTTTTAAGTAATAATTTATTTTTAATGCCAATATAAATATTTTCAGTCACAAATGAAAAACGGCTAAAATTCAAATTGAATTAACTATTGACTGTTTTATATTATGATAGGTAATAAAATATTATTATAGCGTCAAACAAGGCCGTAACTTGGGAGGGGAKAGGTCCAGGCGTCCTATATAAGGTCACTAGGTATTTATTAGTTATAAGTGTATCTATTTTAGTCTTTATAGATTAGATTTTATTGTTTTAAACATTTAAACATATTAAGTAGGCAATCGTAAACTCGTAAAAATTATTRGGTACTGTTACACAGCCAGATTTTTAATATAGGTCTAGTCGTAGTCTTACTAATTCATATATATATATGCAATATAAAGTGGCATAACTTGGTAAAAAACTAGGAATGAGGTAAAATATAATTTATTAACCAAAATCAAAACCTTGACCCTTCTTCCCCGGCATGAATATATTTATACTCTATGTTTGTTTATATTTTTGTTATTACACAAGTTTTAAAWCTCATTTTACGGTTTAGAAAAAAATGTAGTAGGAAGATGTTAAAACAATATCAATAATTCTGCTAGATAGTTTTGATAAAAATATAAAATCTATTAAACAAATACTTAATGTGGCCTTAAATTTTGTTTAAGTTTTATGTTTAATTATTAATTCACAGAAATTTAACCTTAATATTGTGAAGAATCTAGAATAATATTTTCAAGTCTTATATTGGTTCTTAGAATTAAATATTTTTTCAAATACAAAATAATTAGCAAAGTTTTGTGATTTTAATGAATATCCTTATATAGCCATTGAGTCAATAGTTATATCAATTTAAATTTTAAACGCAACAATAGTTTATAAAAGTTTAGACTAAAATCTTTCAAAATTTAGTTTGTGTATTTCAAAAAAATAAAATAATTTACATTTTTTTTTTTTATAGTTCATACATTTTCTTTCATCAATAGCAGYGTTTGTTTGTTTATTTAACTWACTAAAATGCAATTATTTAGGGACCATTGTATCCTGCAATGAGTAGGCTACTCGCTTCATGGGTACCAGTTGAAGAACGGGGTCGATTGGGATCTCTGGTATTTGCTGGTAGGTAGCTCACATGACCTTAGTTTTTGTTTGACATGAACTGTATTCCTTTTTTAACAYGGCACATTTATTAATTTTTAGGAGCACAAGTAGGCAATGTTGCTTCTATGCAGTTGGGTGGCTTTCTTATGCGGTACACTGATAGTTGGACCAGTGTCTTCTATGCATTCGGCGTGTTTGGAATATTTTGGCTCGTGTTTTGGTTTGTATTGATTTACAACCACCCAAATCGTCATCCATTTATCAGTCAAAAGGAAAAACATTATTTGAACAGGGTTATTAATACCGTCGATCCAGATGATGTTAGTTGTAAAACAATAGCAACACACTAATTACTTGTAATAACAATACACTCAATATTTGTTACCTATAGGGCAAGTTATCGATTCCATGGAAAAGTATTGCAACATCAGCGCCAGTATGGGGATTGATCATTGTTCAGATAGGCCACGATTGGGGTTTGTTCACCATAATTACAGACTTGCCAAAGTATATGAAGTCAGTGTTGAAGTTCTCAGTAGTCGAGGTATAAATATACCATAATGCAGTATTTGCACATATAAATGTTATTTTTTAAATAATTCATTAATATTCGTAAAATGTTTTATTTCAGAACGGTTTACTGTCAGGTTTACCGTACATAGTGATGTGGTTGGTAGCTATGGGTTCTGGTTTCATAGTAGAYTCAATGTTATCGTCTCAGTATTTTACAGTGACTTGCATCCGTAAAACATTTGTAACTATAGGTAAACCAGTTTAACAATCAAGAATGTAAAATAATTGAGAATAAAATAAATAAAATATTGTTATTATTTTTCAGCTAGTGTAGGGCCAGCACTCGGAATTGTTGCAGCATCATATTCTGGTTGCGATAAAGTGTTAGCAGTAACAAGTTTCACAGTAGGTATGGGACTTATGGGTACTTTTGTACCCAGTTTGAAAGTCAATGCCTTAGATCTCAGTCCCAATTATGCTGGGACATTGATGGCTATTGTGGGTACAATTGGATGTATGTCAGGAGTTATCGCACCTTATATTGTTGGCATTATGGTTCCAAACGTATGTCACTATTAAACTAATTTATTGTAATAGGGGATATAGATTAATATTAATTTTTTTTTTTTTTTAATTTAATTAGAGTTCTATGGAAGAATGGCGTGATGTGTTTTGGTTGTCTGCTGCTATACTAATAGCTACCAACTTGTTATTCTTACAATATGGTTCAGGAAATGTACAGCCATGGAATGAAAAGGCAAACCGCCAATATAAGAGCAGCGATATTAATAATGAAAATAATACGACATCAATACTAAAACCATTGTAAAATAATGAACCAAAGTTTTGTACAGTAATAACTTTGTCTTATAATTTATATACTAATTATTCTTAAGATATAACATAAGTAATATTTATAATAGAACATTTGCACCAAAAGAACAATAAAGAATTTTCAATCCTTAAAACAGATCTTAAAAACTTTCCGAAAGGTTCTAGATACCAATAAAATATGAATGCAGACTTATTAAGGATGTAAAATATAAAATTATGATAAAAGTTTTGATTTCTTAATCAAAAATAAACTTTAAATATTTTGTCATGAAGCTTTTTTTTCACAGGATAAGCAACAGGTTTTAACATTTTCAATAACAATTCTATATTAATTAATCATATGAGTTTTAAAATATCCTTCAGGATTATTGGTATCCAGATCTTAAAATAAATAATAAGAATATAATTGACAAAAATTATGAATTAGTAAAATTTACCATAAAATTAATGTAAATAGAATAATTATAATTATAATGAATCAACATTACTACTAAGTACATAAAATATACATTTAAAATTTCATTCATCATAATTTGAGTCATGCATGAATAATGAACAATAAATATAATATGCAAATATAATAATGGGATAAAAATATGTAAGATTAATGAACACCAGCAACACCTTTAACAGCAATGTTATTAGCAATTTCTCGTTTCACTTTCCTTCTCCTGGATGGATTTTCCCTGTTATATTGCACATCGCGATTGAGATCAATTGTATACATTGTTCCACAAATAAGTACATCAAATTTAAGTATATTGAGTTTGTAATGTTGTTCAATTTCATCAGAAGTTCTCTTCTCATATTGCCACCAGCCTAAGATATAGGAAATGAAAAATTATGTAAAAATAAGTATACAAATAGTAATATTATTACCATAATCATTGGAAAACAATTAATATCTTACCATTCTTGCCTTCATAAAACCATTGATAACCATCTTCAAGCGTTTCCATTTCTTGGCGTTCAAGAACAATAGGATTTTTGTCAAAATCAATAGGTATATGTTGGCGACACATTGGACACTTGTTAGCTTGCCGCGCTGCTCCTTTCACACATAAGAAACAAAACACATGACCGCATGGAGTACGAACAGGAAACACAACAGGTCCCAAACATACAGGACACTCGTTATATTCACTTTTAGACTTGACTGATGTGTCATCTATAAAAATGCAATACTACATAGTTAAGTTATGATTCACATGGCACAAAAACAATTTCAAATGTAGTCTAACCATTTTGGTTGGACTTTTTCAAGATAGATTTCAGTTTGATTCCAGACGTTGAGTTCTCATTAACATCAGAGGTTGTTGGCAAGGTAGAAGCAACAGACGCATTTGTACTTYCTGACATTTTAGCTGAACATAACAACAATGACACAATAATTATTAGTACATAATAATAAATATTATTATAACTATATAGGTACTAATGAATATACACATATTATGACCTATAAGTATTATAACCTATAAGTATTATAACCTAACCATTGTAAACGTAGACTAACCATTTTTTTTAGATTTCTTGGTAATTTTTTTTTTAGATACAGGGGCAGGCTTATCTTCGTCGTCAGATTTTATAGTTGAGGTAGAACCAGCAGACAAGGTGTGAGGATCTTCTGATGATTCGGCTGAATAGGACACAAACAAATATTCATAAGTACACAACAATAGAGATGATTTATCATTAAAAAATTGATTACCATAAAAATAGTATGATACAATATTCAATGGCACACATAGAGAAATGCCGTCAGGCCCATAGTGAAATTACAGGTTTAATTTAAAAATTGTATGAATATTGTTTTAGGTATTTATGTATTATACCTATTGCATAACCATATGCCATGGGCCCATGGCCCATACATACTTTTGATAACATACCTAAGGTTTTTTTTTTTTTTATTCTACAGTATGAACCATGAAAATTTGAATTTAAATTGTACACTTTCTAATAGGTAAGTAATAACAACCAATGCTAAAAAGTTAGATCTATAAACATCGATAGTGAGTTCTATTTTATAAAAAATKAATTTTTATTCAGTGTAGTATTTACACTGTTTATAATTACAAGAATTTTTTAACACTAAGTWGATTAAAAATGTTTTTGAGGAACCAAAAAGGAAATATTAGATTGTTAGAATTTACTTTTTGATGATACATTGTAATATAACATTACCTAATCGATGACATTTTCAATTTTTTTTTTCTTAAAAATGATATATTATACTAATTAATTTTACATGATATTTATGATGTAATAATAAATATTTATTTTTTAATTACAATCTTTATTTCTATTGTTTATATTACAATTATAACGGATTTAACCACTGGCTCCGTAAAAAAATTCAAATTACTTATGACTACTCTAGAGCTTGAACAGTGATAAATTGGCCTACAGTGAAAATAATGGTTCCTATATAAACCACTGTTACAAATATTCGACACTTTAGGTAAAACATAAAATTCTACTTCTGCATATCATTAAAATGTATATAGAGCAACGATAATAATATCGGTAATTTATACTTYATATTCATGGGTACTAATRCACTATTAGAATGTCAATAGTAAYTTTAATACAACTTACATTCGTGTTCGTTATCCTCGGASGAATTTTCATCGTCTGTGATTTCATTTTCCATGCGTTTAAGAGACGCGGCCATGTCTGCGTTCGACGACTCGTTTATTATATTTATTCGTAACCAATTAGTGGTGTTGCAGTAGCGTCTGGAGTCTGGAGTTCTGCACGATATGATTCTTAGTTATTAGTTTCTTACTRACTGGTAAAGTGGTAAATGGTAATTCGAAAATCGATAAAGTGAAAATTAATAACAACAAAACTACGGACGATATTATGGTCAATCTTGTGGTCAATAATAGTTGGAACTTGGAATATGATAAAATGATAAACGACTACTGTTACCAAAGTCCTAGTGACCGTAAACGATAAATTGTTTGTTGTTGATGGGTGTGGCACTGGTGCGTGATGTTGCGCGTAATTCACCGCTAGAGGACGCTGACGTGTACTGTCGTCGCCGCCGTCAATTCTGCGTTTTAAATGCGAGTGGCG